GCCGAAAGATAGAATTTTGAAGTTTCCGGTTCGATAGTGAGATTTTGATCCGAGGGTCGGAATGGAATTCCAGAAGTTGGAGTAGCTCCATAGTGTTAAATGTGACGTGCTTGCAAAAGTTCAGGTCATTCGGACGAGGTTTGATAGACTTTTTGATCGAAAGCGTATTTTGAGAAATTTGGAGTTCTTAGGCTGTTTCGATGTTTTTTTAGGTATTTTAAGGATTGGTACAAGTTTGTACAGTAGTATTAGACTTGTTGGTGCCTTTGGTTGAGGTCCCGGGGGCCTCGGGGTGATTTCGGGTGCTTGACGGAGGAAATTTGGAGTTTAAGTTGCAACTTCAGCTGCTTGTTCTGTCATAACCGCACCTGCGGTTTGGGAGGTGCGGCGCCGCAGAAGCGGCTCAGTGGTCGCAGAAGCGGTTTTGAGGCAAAAGGGAGTCGACCGCAGAAGCGGCACCGCATCTGCGGTGATGAAGTCGCAGGTGCGGAAAATCCTCCTTTAATGAAATGTCGCAGATGCGACCGGGTTTCGCAGATACGGGACAACAAAAGCGATCTCAGGGCCGCAGATGCGGTTATCGCTGGGCAGAACATATATGTCCTGGCCTTCGCGAAATTTAGCCACTTTTCATCTTTTTCAAAACGGGAAGAAGCTTGGGAAGCACTTTCCGAGAGAAATTTTCAGAGGAGTTCATTGGGGTAAGGTCTTTGGTCCCTAAACTCGTTATTGGAATGATTTTTATAAATTTAAGCATGAAAAATTAAGGAAAATCAGTGGTAATTCATGGGTTAGGGCTTGGCTAATTAGAGGCCTTTGAGTGATGATTTGGGGGACCAATTGAGGTCCGATTTTGGTACTTTTGGTATGACTGAACTTGTGAGAGTGTAAGGATTCTGGAAATATATATTTTACCCGATTCCGAGACGTGGGCCCGAGGGGCATTTTGGTCATTTTACCTAATTTCGCATATTAGCTTAGAATTCAATTGTAGAATCAGTTACTTGAGGTGTCATTTACATTATAAAATTTAACTGAATAGATTTGGGCCATTTGGAGTCGAATACTCGCGGCAAGAACGTGGTTGTGGGTTGACAATTGAGCCGGTTCGAGGTAAGTGGCTTGTCTAACCTTGTATGGGGGACCTTTCCCCTTAGGATTGATATTGTGATAACTGAAATGCCTTGTACGTGAGGTGACGAGCGCGTACTTGTGCTAATTGTTGGAAATCCGATTTTTCATTAAAAATAGCCTTGAATTGTGTTCTTCCTTTTCTTGCTTACACTATTTGGAAATTAAGCCTGCTGTTAGTCTAGAGAAGCATGTCTACTTGACTAAATTGTTCTATTTGACTTAACTGCCTTATTTGTATTACGTGAAGCATGCTAGGTTAGAATTATCTGCCTTACTTTGGTATGAAATTGATTGAATTAAGTTCTTGTTGCTGCTGTGTATTTACTTTGGGACTACGGGACGGTATCTCAGGAGCTCCCCCGTATGCTTACTTTGGGACTACGGAATTGCATTTCGGGAGATCCCCCTGCACTTTTACATTGTAACTACGGGATTGCACCCGGTAGATTCCCCAGTACTGAGTATTTATATTTGGGACTACGGATGTGGTATTCCGGTAGATCCCCGCGCGTTTATGAGTTGGACTACGGGACTGCATCCGGGAGATCCACTAGTTATTTACATTGGGGACTACAGGACGGTATCCTGGGAGATCCCCTGACTGTCTTCTACGTTGAGCTGTACTGGTTTTACCGTGATCCTTGTTTCTGTTTCTGTTGTTGTTATTCTCTATGTCCTGTGATACTTTCCCTGCTGCACTTATTTATACTGTTCTTATCTACGCTGTTGAATTTTTATATATTCTATTTAACCTCAGTAGGGCCCTGACCTTCCTCGTCACTACCCAACCGAGGTTAGGCTTGGCACTTACTGAGTACCGCTGTGGTGTACTCATGCCCTTCCTGTGCATATTTTTCATGTGCAGATCCAGGTACTTCGACTCAGTCCTACCACCCCTGAGGCACGGCGACTGCTATTGCGACTTCAAGGTATATCTGTCGCATCCGCAGACCGATGAGTCTCTTTCTATTCTTGCTGTTTAGTATTAGCCCTTCTGCATTTCTGTTCTTGTTAGACATTCTGGAGTTAGAGCTATGTAGCATTTCTTAGCTTGTGATTCATGGGTTTCCGGGTCTTGGATTTATGTACTGGTTTGAGAACTTAATATCGTGTATGCCGAGCGGCACATTTGGACGTTGTTTATTACCTCACTTCTATTTTTAATTTGTTTAATTTTCCGTAAATTGGTTTTTCTTCCTCAATTTAGGCTAGAGACTAGGTGCAGTCACGATGGTTCGCGGGGGGCGAACCGGGGTCGTGACAGTTTCATTTGCAGATAGCATGAGGAAAGTACATCTCTATGCCTACATGTCAATATGCAAGTGAAATCATGGATGTCACCAAAACCAGGTAGCATAAGGGAAATGCATCTCTATGCATGTATCTCAAGTATGCATGTCAAATGCAATGCATCTCAGTGATGAACTCATGTACTCACACTCTCAGAGTACTCAATCTCACTATCTTACACTCTCACTCATCACACTCAATACTCAGCACACTTAGTCTCTCAATACTGTATAGGGTAGATCCAGCTCTGGGAAGATCCAGCCTAAACATATATAAATCCTCATACTCAGTCACAGAGTACTATACAGGGCAAATCCAGCCCAAAAATTAATGGAAACTACACTCACTGTGGGTGTGCAGACACCGGAGGGGTAGATCCAACACAAGCGCTAATATAACCTGTTGTAGCGTCCAACCCGATCGATATATAGCCCTAAGGCCTGTTGCGACGCGCAATCCGATCCACATCTAGCCATAAGGCTTGTTGTGGCGTGCAACCCTATCCACTTATATCAATAATACCTGCTGCGGCGTGCAGCCCGATTCTATCAAAATCACTCACAATCCGGCCCTTAGGCCCCAACTCAGTCTTCAATCTCTCCAGTCTCCCGAGCTCACAAATCTCATGCCAATCAACCCAAATGATGATAATAATATGAAGTGACAACAAAAAATAATAGAGACTGAGATATGATATATAAATGAATTCGTACATTTAAGTATATAATTGCAATGTAAGCAAATAACTGAACAGCATAAATGACCTCCGTGGATCCCAACAGGATAAACATATAGCCTAGACATGGTTTCTAGCGTGGATCACAGCTGAATTACTCTAGCACGTAGAGATTTCATGGATACAAATAAGATTAGGTAACTGCACAATATAACAGAAATAACCGAGTCACAATTCAGATGGTGCACCCCTACACGCGCGTTACCTAGCATGTGCGTCACCTCAACACCAAACACATATGACGTATATCCAGGGGTTCATACCCTCAGCATCAAGTTTATAAGTGTTACTTACCTCGAACAAGCCGAATCCAATACCAAGCAAGCTAAACGATACTCCAAAAACGCCATCGCTTCTGCGGTACAAAATTTGCTTCTACGAAGAATCTCTAAACACAGCAGCCATCGCTTCTGCGATCTATTTCCCACTTTTGCGGTCGCGCTTCTGCGTATATCGAACCGCATTTGTGCTCTCGCAGATGCAACCATGCACCAACACCTGCAACCTTCACCCAGCTGCCCCTTTTCGCTTCTGCGAAGAAAACTCCGCATCTGCGAAGTCGCTTCTGCGACCAATGTTCCGTAGATGCGGCTACACCAAAACCAGCAGCCTCAGCAAATTGCACATTCGACAAACTAATTCGAACCTCGTCCGAAACTCATATGAGGCACTCGGGACCCCGTCCAAATAAACCAACAGGTCCCATATACATCGGACTTACTCGAGGCCCCAAATCATGCATAACAACATCAAAACGACGAATCACACCTCAAATCGAACTTAAATGAACTTGAACTTTCAACTTCCAAAATTCACGCCGAAACATATCAAATCAACCCGAAATGAACTCAAATTTTGCACACAAGTCCCAAATGACATAACCAAGCTATTTCAATTCCCGGAACCACAATCTGAACCCGATATCATTAAAATCAACTCTCGGTCAAACTTATGAACTTTCCAAACGTCCAAATTTACAACTTTCACCAATTAGTGTCGAATCCTTCTAGAAATATCCAAATGCAAATCCGGGCATACGCTCAAGTCCAAAATCACCATCCGGACCTAATGGAACCATCAAAACTTCGTTCCGGGGTCAAATTCATAAAGTCAAACTTGGTCAACTCTTCCAATTTAAAGTTTCAAAAGTGAAATTCATTCTTCCAAACTAATTCCGAACCACCCGGAAACCAAAACCGACGATTCACACAAGTCATAATACACCATATGGATCTACTCATGCCTCCAAACTATCGAGCGAAGTGCAAATGCTCAAAATGACCGGTCGGGTTGTTACACATGAAAAAAATTCAAATTATCTAATTAAATCACCGGATCATGACTATAGTCTATAGCTATGGCGTATAATTTGGTAAGTGTTTCTTTAGAAGCTTCATTGTTTATATTTTTTGGCTATTGCTAATTTTTATTAGGCAAGTATATTTTCTATAATTTTATTTTCTAGAAATAGTGTCTATTATTAGGTTTAGAAATAATAGTTGTTTGAAGTCTTTGTTTGAGAAACAAGATTTTATTACCATTTGTTTAGAAAGAAAGATAAAAAGCTAGAAAAATACCAAATGATACTAACATATGATGGATTAGCTTCATTACTTCTGTTGGAAGTCTTTTATTGTGGTTTTTCCTTTAATGCATTAGTATTATTTGCAGGAACTTAGTTTTTTTCCTTATACTTTTTATTTTATAATAGAAATATACAGTTTAAATAATTTATCAATGTGATTATTTAAAAGCTTATACACATTGATATAGGTAAACGCGCAATGTGTATACCCAAAGACTAGCTAGTATATTTTAAATTTTTTAATCAAAACGCAATCCTCCCAAAACAAAAAACCTTACTACCAAAAATACATCCAACCACTCACGTTATACCAAACAAACCACTCATAGAAACCGAGAGAAAAGAATACAAAAGAAAACTTCAATATCTGTAATCATCTTAATGTAACCATTTTCCACCCATTCCTTGCCGCTGGTTTAACGCATTATATACTGCTAATTTCCTCTTTGCATTGATGACTTGTCTTATTACACTCTGCTTCCTTTTGTTTACCCCACAAAACACCATAAAGTCCCATCACTAGCAATATTGCTCCACATACACTGTCAATTTTTTCAGAGGGGCAAACCATTAGGTAATCCACTTGAAAAAGTAGTGCTATTAATAGAAAGTGAATTAGTTTAAAACTTAGGCTGTCTTTTTTCCAAAAATGTGACTTAAGTACTATTCCCTTCTGTTTCAAATTAGATGAGGTACTTTCCTTTTTAGTTTGTTTCAAAATAAATGACACATTTCTAAATTTGGAAATAATTCAACTTTAAGCTCTTCATTTTACCCATTTTACCTTTAATTAGAAGCTTTTATAACCACACAAATGTCAAAGCTTTTACCCCTTATGCTTTTAAGACCACAAGTTTTAAAAGTCTTCTTCTTTTTCTTAAACTTCGTGCCGAGTCAAACTACCTCATCTAAATTGAAATGGAGGGAGTATAATTTTTACTTTAAAGAGAAAATATAATGTTTTTTTCTTTTCTTCTTAAACTAGAGTGAAAAGGAAATTTAGAGGTATGAACCTTCCCAAATGAGGAGTCTCTTTCCAAAAGATAGATGAAAAGAAGGCTGTTACTATTAAAGATAATGGAGTAAACATAGCTGTAAAAACTGGCCCTTTTATCTCTATCACCCAAGCTCTTAGCCAATATGAGAGCCCAGTGACCAACACACCCTGTCAATTTTCAAGAGAATTAATTAATTATAACTCAGCTAGAAAACTTATAATAAAAAATCAGAATTGAGAATGGAAACATTCTTACACAGTAAGCCACAGAAAGAAGATTGAAATTGAAACCTAATTTCCATGCTTCTATGTCCCTCTTTACTGAAATAGCCCAAATTGCTGATTGAATGCAACTAAAGAGGCATTGAAGAGTTGTAAGCCTTATTTTTGCTGGATATTGTTTCATAATTGGACCCTGTTAGAACAAATTGAAGCATACTTTTACTCCATCTCTCCTCTACATGCATGCGACAATCGTTAAAGAATTAAAAATTGCAGAAATATGACACTTTTTACGATGAGCCTTTAGTATAGGGGCCACAACATATAGTACTACTAGTGACACTTCTTAATTTCATTTTTACTTAAGTTTTATACGCTGATAGTATAAAAAGTATTCACACAATCAGATCATAGATAAGTTAAATTGAAGACAAATTTCTATAGTAAATATTAATTGGTAACCTAGTAATGATGACTCGTGATAACTAACTCGCTGTCATAGGTTAAACAGTTTGGAGAATTGTAGGACGCACCTGCAAAATAAGCCACAATGACCACATTGTGTTGGCTAAGAGCATGATGAGAGAACCTTTAATCCATTCACCTTTGGAGTTGCCATTTGTAGTTAGATAATGAACTTGTTTATGGCTTTCTGGATAGAGAGGAGGTCCATTGACAAAAGCATACACTAAAGCCCCAGCAACACACACAACTGAACCAATAATCTTAGCTATTCCATGGCTTTGCTTATAACAAATGCTCTCCATCCTTTAAATTCATCAAAAACTAGGTAATTTGTTAATATTTGACGCCTTCACATAAATTTTCTCTTAAATATTTAGAGAAGTACCTGAAGCATATGGCTAAGATGAAAGTGATAACAGGGATCATGTTAGTGCCTGCAGCTGCAAATGTTGCTGATATATAACTTATTGACACATAGCATAGATCCAGGCTCAATGTAATCCTGAAAATTAACACAACTAGTCACACCAAGGAGTAGGCAGCAAACGACCCAATAAAAAGTCTAACTCCATTCATATTAAAGTTTTAATCTATGTGACCAGGAGGTCACCGGTTTGAGCCGTGGAAACAGCCTCTTGCAGAAATGCAGGATAAAACTGCGTACAATAGTCCCTTGTGGTCCGACCCTTCCCCGTATCCCGCACATAGCGGGGGCTTAGTCCACCGGGCTGCCCAATTCTATGAGTACAAATATCACCTATGTAGAGCAGTACGTTAAAGGTAAATCTAAGTCTAGTCCCCTGATTTCAACTGAACCTATTGTTTTCTGCTTGAACTATGTATGCATATAAAGAAAAAATAGTTAAATTAATATATACATATTATAAGACTGCACTCTATTACACTCATTTCAAACCAATTGACTCAGTTCTGTATTTTCTACATAATTTTTGTGGATGCTACACATTTTGCTTCATACAAACATGCATCATGTATATGTTGTATACATAGACAAGAAGAACAGGAATCCGTACCCAAATAAGGATAAAAAGAATATCTTCACTAGTAAGAGGAATGAAAGGGAAGTTGTCTTGTTACTGTGAATCAAAGTTAAGATAACAACATATTAGCATATGATTTAAGTTATGTATATACATATAAGATGAAAATTTGAAGTGTGTATATATATATATAGCTAGGTAGGCAAGACCTTTCGAGGAAAATCGCGAATGGAGCCAAGGCTAGAGTTGCAAATGCTTGTCGATAAACCACGAACACATAAGGATTCATGCCATTGGAGATGGAAGCTTTAGAGAACAAAGCCATGCCTGCATATAATATCTGTATGAAGATCATTGCCAAGTAGGGTTGATATCTCTTCAAAGCCATAGCTTTTTGCCAAATTTAATTTCCAGCTTGTTGATACCTCTTGTACTACTATATTTATATAGGTTTTAAGTACTATGCACTACGGTGTAAAGAACTTTACACTATTAGGTCAATCAAATTTATCTACAGGTTATCTGCCATAAAAAGTGAGATTTGCAATACTAAAAATAAGACAATAATTAGTGCTACGTATACAACAGGTAAGTCTAGCTAACTTGATAGAGTAAAAAAAAGAAACATTTACATATAAATCAAAAACATATTTATATATGTTCAACACCAACGATCATCTTAAATATCCTTTTTATTTTTCCCCCAATTAGGGTTTCCTTTAATGTACAATGAAGTGTGTGGTTCACATATAGATTCGCTTTCATGATTGGACATTTCCCCTAAGCATGACTAAAGTTTCTAACTTTTTTGTGTATAATACTGCAGAGAACCTTTAATTTCTATCTTTACAGAAGAATGCTAGACATAAAATTACTATCTCTTAGAAAAAATAATTTTACGTTTGGGTCAAAAATGTACTCAAGCTTCACTTATATATTGTCACTAATTTCTATCATATCTTGGCATTATTCCCTTTATCATGCAAACAAGGATAAAAAATATGTGTTATAATATTACTGCACGAATATTGCGAGATGAAAGGTATTTTGATAATTGATGGACATGCTTATAATCTTCTTTCGGACATGTGCAGCACCCACATGAATAATCAAAATAAAAGAATGGGGAGAAGAAGGAAAAAAATGATACCAAATATTTTTACGTAAAAGCCCCCTTCTGATTTAAGTTTAAAAATTTGGGTAGAAAAGCGCAAAACAGTATCACTATAGTAAGGAGAAATTTTATACTTAATATCGAATATAACAAAATTCTGGAGCCTATTTCAACACTTAAAAGAAAAATACTCATTTTTTAAATATATTATCGCTCAAACTCTATTGTATTCCTCACATATATGTTTTCTTTGTGACTCGAGGAACTAAATGAGGGAGGTAGGTCCTCTATCTTAAAGGGGATAAGAAACTATGCTAATGTTTGATTCCATCACATGACAAAATTTTTCTTCCATTCATTTAGTACTACTTTAATTCCAAAAGTTACCTTCTTCAAGCCCAACATTTGATGAATGTATCTCAAACTTTCATAGATGGAGCTTGTCGCGCCCCATTTTCTCGCGAAAGCTGGTTTCGACATGTGACGACTCTTTTAAATGGGTATTAAAAGAGAAGAGTCGCCACCAAACGATTCTAAGGTGCGTTAGGGCAGCTATTTGTAGATAACTCTATTGGATTAGTCTACGTCATGACTAAAGATCGGGTAAGGGCTCAAATTACCCCAAAGAGAAGGTGTTAGACACTCTTCGAGGTCCACAACTGTGGGTTCCGGCCGGTTTTATACTATGTGAATTAGATAATTAAGCTAGGTGGTCAAATGAGCAAAGAAAGATATAGAAGTTGTAGACTCGATTATAACATAAGAATTAACTTTATGACTAATTGATACAAATCTTACAAAATTACAAGGAGTACAATTGCGTCGATCAACAAGTGTCACACCCCTTTTCTACTCCCCGAAAAATATGTATGTGTATGGATATTATGGTGGGTTAAAGAGTTTTTCCAATTGAAGTGACAAATTTGAGTAGGGATTATTTTATTTATAGAGTCGCCACTTGGAATTGGTTTTCGGTGTTCCAAGTCACCTTTTATTTGAATCCCTAGTCAAAGAAAAGTTTGGCTCTATTTTTATCGGTCCGCGAAAACAAAGTTCGGGTAAGGAATTCTGTTGACCGGGGAGAAGGTATTAGGCATTCCCCGAGTCCCGTGGTTCTAGCACGGTCGCTTTATTGACTTAAAACTTGGCTTGAGCTAATTTTGGACAGACTGTGATTTATACGATTTTCATGTTTTACCTATCCGCTTTTATCTCTTGATTATTAGAAAAATAAATGTCATAATCACACTACGCAAACGAATGTGTGATCTAGACGAGATTTTATTGACTTAGTCATAACAGCACTATGCAAGCAAATCCGCAGTCATGACAAAGAATTATTAACACGCTATTACTTTGATAATTCATTACATTTAAGAAAGAAGAAAGAAAAAGAAAAATTAATGTTTGGAGTTTATTAAATGTCATGCCGCTGCTACGCAAGCAAATCTACAGTTATAAGCAGGGGATTAATTAAATTAAAAATTAACTAAAATTACTAGGTGTGGTATGAGATTATTGAATTAATTTATTGAAGGTTAAAACAACACGCTACGCAAGCGGATCCGTGAATGAAAAAAAAAAAAAAAGTTAAAGCGCGCTTATTAGTTGCTCAGCGCTTAAATAAAATAAATAAGTTATCAAAAAGATTATTACTAAAGAAGTTCGCTTTTGGATCTTATTGAAAGAAACCTGATTTTCTAATCAACTAGGCCGGCTAATGGTTATCTTAGAAAATGGGCCAGCTGATATACTCGATTGTTTTTACATGATATGGGCTTTATTAGAATGGACTGCTGAAAATTAATTGGCCCAACTCTCTTTTCCATTCCTAAATTCTAGTAACATGTTTAGCAAAAAGAAATAACTAAATAAACAAATGATCATATCTCTACCTTTTAATTGGATAATTAATACACTACTAAACTAAGAAAACTTCTAAATAATAAATAAATAAAAAACGAGCAGCCAACAAAATATAAAATAGTAATTATTTAGATTAATAAATTAAAATGCATGGATAGATCTCATTTTACTTAACAAATTATTACTACCCAACTTACCTGGTAAAAGAGAAAATGTATATTTACTCGCTAAGACTGTATACTTGATTAACCTATTGAAGTTAATTAAAATTGGAGACCAAATTAGTTCACTCCAATACCCGAAAGTCGAACTTAATGAACTATGCCAAAATATATCAACCTTCAAACACCTCTTTTTGTATCATGCTTAACCTAACAATTTAACTTGAACATTGATTATAAGAAATACTTAACAATAGTTCATGCTTAAAAAGACAAAGTAAAACTTGTCAAAAATATATTGGCTAGTCCATGATCTTTTCTATGACTAGACGAGATTAACAGAGTGCTTCGGTTACATTTAGGGAAGAATAGAACTTCTAGCTATCAATTACATATTCACATGCTTGAGCCCTACATAAAAACGTTAAAGCGCTTAAGCAAACTCATAGAATGAATTCAACTCTATTCTATCAATCTGACATGTTCAAATCTTCAGCTATTGCTTAGCAAAATCTGCATTACAAAAGGTTCAAGAGTTACCTGTGTTGCAGAGAATCGAAAATACAGCAGTGAAAACGAATAGAAAACAGCAGAAACAAGAGCGGAAACAGCAACAATCAGCAGCAACCTTTTAAACCCGATGTGAACCAGAATAACTCAAAGCTCAATGACTTAGGATAGGAAGAAAGAACTCACAAACTTCAAATTTTTAGCTTACTTTTGGATGTTCAACTGCTTTTTTTTTTCAAGTTTTGTATTTTTGAGTGTTAAAAAGATAGATAGTAGTTAGAGTGTTCAAAAAATATATCCCCCAGATCTGAAATTTCAGCTTGCTATCTATATTAAGCTGCTGATTTTTTTTTTCAAGATATGTGTTTTCTTAGAGTGTAGAGATGTTTTTTATCAATCTAAGATCGATCTCCTATAATGAAGAAAGGGCAGCCCTTAAATAGGCAAAGAAAAGCCAACTTTTTGGACAGATTTTGGTTCAACAAAAATCTGTCCAAAAGAGGCTAAATTTGTGTGCTAAAGGCTGTCCAAAAGGTGAAAGGACAGCCTAAAATCTGCTATGGCAGGAGCCAAAGGGTCATTTCAGCCACCCTACTAATCAAAAGTAAGCTACCACTACCCTAAGTCATGATCAAACCCATAACAATTTCAGATTTTAACAACATCAATACCACCCTATTAATTTTGAACCAAAACAAATCACACAACAAACGATTGACGAAATAGAAAAAACTTAAACTAATTAGATTAAACAAATTGATTTGTACAAACTAAACATAGAACAAACAAATGAATTCACAAACTAATGCTCGAAACAAATTTTAAACGAGAACTGTTAATTATTCGTCAACGACTAACAACAACTAAATAAACGACTATTAATAGCCGCTAATCAGAACCTAACTGTATGGAAACAACTGATTCATCTTGCGATCACAGAACGATTCATGGCTGAATCAAATAGAAAATCAAGCAACTACGCAAAAAATGAACTTGATCTATCGAATCGACAAAGATCAAAACGAGCAATTCATTATCGACAAGAAACATACGATTCAAATTGAATCTAAACCCAATTACAGAAGCAAAAATCAGAAAAATAAAAAGGGAGCTAGGATTTTACCGTATACTCGAGTATCCGGGCAATGGCGATAGGCAGTGGTACGACTCGAGCAAGTGTCTAATGTCGATTATTATCGAAACCATGACTCCGGAGAATTGGATGCTAGTTTCGATAAAAATCGACAACAAAACTCGCTTGAGGCCGAGGTGGAGAGAGAAACGGGAGGCAGTGGCGGTTGAGGGGTGGCTGTGACGGCGGCGGATCGGCAGTGGGGGTCGCCGGAATTCCGGTCACCGGAATTTCGGGTTAAAACCAATGCCAAATTGTAGCCCTTGATGAGATCTATCTATGTATGTAAAAATTAAGTGGAGAAAAGGGCTCAATGTTCTCGAATTTATGAAAAAAGTTGCGGCTAGGGTTTCGTTCTTTTGAAGATTTGTGGCGTTTGAGAAGGATTCGAGGGATTTGGGGCTTGGATATGGGAAGAGGAGGAAGAGACGAAGATGGGGTGAAATTTTGGTGGCGTTTGGAGCTTGGCCGCCGCCGGTGGGCGATTCCCGGCGGCGGCTCTGGGCGGCGCTGGGCGGCGGAGAGGAAGAAGAGAGAAGAAGAGGTCTAGGGCTTGGGCATGTATGGAAAATGAGGCCAAAAAATCAGATTTTCTAAAATTATATACTTCCAATGACATCAATTTTGGACCATTAGATCAAAGAAAATAGGTGGCCAGGATTTGATCTTGATTACTTAACCAAAACGACGTAGTTTCAATCTAAAGCTAC